GGGCGGGGGAGGGTGGGGGTACGGAGAAAGCCACAGGCTTGTGGATGTGAGGGTGCAGGAGTTTGAGTTGGGGGATGTGAGGGGCTCAGGGCAGGGAGGTTGTGAGTATAATGGGCTCAGAACACAGATTTGTGGTGTGTGGATGGTGTAGGAGTGTTGTGACCGAAGACTGAGGATGTGGGGGTGCAGGAGTTTGGGGATGTGAAAGGCTCAGGACAGGGGCTTCCAGTGTATGATAGGCTCAGATCTAGGGTCGGGGGGAGGGGGGTATGTGCAGGAGTGTTATGATGCTGCAGACAGATGGGGGGTTTATTGGCCAGGCTTCATTTTTAAATAAAATGTCAACGCCAAAAAGTTTCAGCATTGTTTTTATTCATGAGAAGGGCAGGGAACCTGTTTCAAGTCAGGGGTCTCTGACCCACAGAAAAGTCAGTTGGGGCCACACAAATGAGATGCAAAAAAAAAAAAAATTCCTCCAACCGCCCCAACTGTGGTGGTGGGAGCAGGGGAGATGGTACTGGGGAAGGGTGCTAGCGGGTGCTGGGGCAGGCGACGGTGTCAGTGGGGGCAGAGGACAGGATGCTGGGGTGGGGACAGGGTGCTAGTGGGGGCAGAGTGCCAGTGGGGGCAGGAGACAGGGTGCTAGTGGATGCTGGGGCAGGGGACAGGATGCCAGTGGGAGCAGGGGACAGGAAAGGATGCCAGTGGGAGCAGAGTGCCAGTGGGGGCAGACTGTTGGTTGGGGCACAGAACAGGGAATCCTCAGCACGCACCTTCCCCCTCCGAACTTCCTGCAGAGGAGGGAAGCTCCGGCAAGCGCCTCCTCCCGGGACTCCTTCCCCTCCCCCACAGAGGAGGGAAGCTCCAGCGTGTCTCCCCTCTGGAGACTCCTAACCCCTCTAGCCCGTCTCCCCCAGAGGAGGGAAGCCCCAGCGCATTTTCCCCTGGAACTCCTACCTCCTCCCCCCACGCAGCAAGTCCCCGGCAGCTGCCAGACTTCCGTCTACCCTGCGGGAAGCCGGCACTAACTCCATTGTTGCTGGAGGTAGGTAGTGGGGCTTCTTGGGGGTGGAGGGAACTGGGGTGGGGAGCCCTGAGCGCCTCCCAATCGACCAGCTGATCACAATCTACAGATTGCTGACCACGGGCCTAGAATCTCTCGACGGAGTGATGCTCTGGCTGTGGTCAAGTCTAGAACTGCCCCCTATGAACTCTATCCTTTGAGTAGGTGCCAAGAGGGACTTTTTCTTGTTTATTAGCAGACAGAGCTGGCAGCATGTGTCCAGCATGGACCTTTTGCCTCAACAGGCCCTTGATGAGCCAGTCATTCAGGTATGAATATAACTGTACATGCTGATGCTTCAGGTATGCCACAGCGACTGACACACACTTGGTGAAAACCCTGGGGGCCATAGAGAGGTCAAAGGGCAGGATAGCAAATTAGTAATGGTTCCTTCCCACTACCTCTCTCAGACCCTCTAAGATGGCAATATGGAAGTACACATCCTTGAGGTTGAAGGCAGAATACCAAGTCCCTGAGATCCAGATAGGGAATGGAAATGGTTAGGCAGACCATACAGAACTTGAAGTAGACCAAATATTAGGCCATAGGCCCCCATTTGCCTTAGGGATCAAAAAGTAGTGGGAGTAGAACCCTCTGTTATCGAACTCTGGAGGCATCCTCTCCATTGCTCTCACCTGGGGCAAATGGGATAGCTCCTGCTTGAGAAGCTGCTCATGAGAATGGTGCCTAAAGAGGGATAAGGGTGGAGGGTAGGAGGGCGGTGTGGAAGAGAGCTGGAAGATGTAGCCACACTGGACAGTGGCCAAGACACAATGGTCCTATGTAATGTCCCTCCATGACAGGAGGAAGGGACAGGATAGGTGGATAGTATGTTTGGAGTCCAGTACGTTGTCCCCAGGCACACCCTCCAAAGGAATGCTCGCCCTGGAGTTTTGCCTGGCTGGTCGATTGCTGGCCAGACTGGGGGTGGCAGCCCTGATTTCCCTTTGAGGGCTTAGGCCATGAAGGGGCTCTCTCTGGCTGGGGATACTGACCTTACGTTGAGAGGACTGGGGCTTAAACCTTTTCCTCTCGGATCCTGGGAAATCCAGATTTAGGCTTTTCAAGGTCATATGGAAGTCCTTCAAGCCTGTGCAACTTCGCGTCCATTTGTTCTGTGAACACGGCCCACGTATCAAAAGGCAGGTCTTGAATGAAGTTCTGTGTCTCTAGAGACAGGCCTAACTGGAGAATCCTTGCCACCCGCCTCACAGTGATGGTGGAGGCCATAAAGAAAGCTGCTGAGTCTGCTTCATCAGACTCTGACTTCAGGGCAACCAGAGCTACGGAGGACCCTTCTTTGATGAGGGCCTTCTACTCCTTGTAGGAGGCTTCAGGCAATGTGGTCTCAAACCTAGCAAGAACCTGTCAGGCATTCACTTCATACCTGGTGAACAAGACTTGGTGGTTTTCCACCATTAACTGCAAGCTAGTCAAAGAACAGATCTTTCTACCAAACAAGTCCAGTCATTTGGACTCTTTATTCTTAAGGGCAGGTACTGGATGGCCTTCATGTTCCTTATGGCTCACCGATTCCACCACAAGAAAGATGGGAGATGGGTGGATATAAATGTAGTCATGATCCCCTGCTGGGACAAACTTCTTCTGCTCAGCTCTGTTGGCTATCGGCAGAATGGAGGAGGGAGTCTGCTGTAGTATCTTGCCAATCTTCGCAACCGCCTCATGCCAGGGTAATGCCACCCTGCTAGGCCCTGCTTGAATCAGGACCCCAAGCAATGAACCTGAGATCTCTTGCACCTCCTTGGCCTGGAGGCCCAAGCTGTTAGCCACCTCTGAGGAAGTCTTGGGTACCGCCAGGGAAAAAGCCACAACTGCCTCATTTGGCGATGAAGAGGAGGTGGCTAGGGCTGGTTCGGCATCTTCACAAGGCGGGAGCTGCTCTCATAGAATCATAGAGCTGGAAGAGACCTCAGAAGGTCATCAAGTCCAGCCCCCTGCTCTAGGCAGGACCAATTCCAACTAAATCAACCCGGCCAGGGCTTTGTCAAGCCGAGACTTAAACACCTCTAGGGATGGAGACTCCACTACTTCCCTAGGTAACCCATTCCAGTGCTTCACCACCCTCCTAGTGAAATAGTTTTTCCTAATATCCAACCTGGACAATATCCTGGCCATTCCATGTTACACTGATAGCAGGACAAGAGATGCCTTCAGTCATTTTAGGCCACTGAACAATGCCACTCGAGGATTCCACTAATGCTTCAGTACAAGGCAGATGGCCTGCACTGAGGGACTGTCTCTAAGTTTCTAACAGTTACGGTTGAAAAAAACTTCTTGAATGTGAAATAAATTGAAATGAATGCATCTCTATTTTGTTTACTCCATAGATGGCCTAAAACTATAGTCCTGAGATGGTATTGAC